ATCCTTGTTCAAAGAAAAGCTTTACACAATAATTTATTGTTGCCACTTCATAATTGTTTTGTCAAAATCATTTTATTTTAGCTGGATAACAAAACAGCAATTATGTGAGTTGAGCTCTTAATATATGTAAGAAGATTAAACAGAATATGAATATCAAAAACGGATAGCATTGTTTAAGGAACAAAGCCGCAAATAACGCCAATCCACACAAGATCCCGACTAGAAACTATACAAGGACATGATGTGAACACGGTCAAAGAGAGTGTAACCAAAACAACAATACAAGGCGAAAACACGAACCCTGAAGTGCACATTAAAGTTTTAAGGGTACTTAGGGGAAGGAGAAATTAATACCGAATCGGCGATTAATACATGACAAATATAACAGTCGACAACGCAATCAGAAAGGAACATGGAAGTGTACATGGAACTGTCAATCAAACAAAAAAGCAAATTAAGCAGACAAAGAGATTAAGTCTCAAATTATGTAATCGGCTAGAAGTTTGCCAGGTCGGCAAAAGAGTACACCAAGTTTCCAACGTATAGCGCCAGAGCTGCATAGAAAAACAAAAATCATATTTAGTGGGAAAATGATAATACTGTACAGAGAGAGCGCAGATCGTCACTGTGAAAAGATTTCTACATATATGATTCGAGGCAATTCTAGGTATAAAACACAGCATGCATTTGTATACATGTAGTAATTAATCATGTACGATGTTATCTGCTGAGCAGCTATTATTCTCATTATGAAGTCGCTGTCCGAATGATTCTGCAGTCTATGAATACTCGTACCGGATAGGCCCTCAGTGATGATCAGTCACTGTGTGTTGATTGCTTCCAACTTTTCTGCATTGATCTCAGATACAATTATCACACTCAGCAGCTAGGCCAATCCTAGGGATAGCCTATCTGATTCCCCTTGATGCACATGAAGTTACATTTGCTTTAATCAGTTGACGGACAGTCTCTGAAATTACTCGTACATCTACAAGAAACAGTCAAGCTCAAGAAAACAGCTTAGCTTGGTCATCCATAGGGAATAGCCAAGTGTGTCCATACATAGGAAACAGCCAAGATGGTACTGCCAAGATGGTACAGCTAAGTATTCCAAACCCGGTCGCCTTCAAATCTAGCTAACACATTACCTACTATTTCATGGAGCAATTTGTGTGGTGGATTGAGTATGAAGATGTACGAACATTAAATTACAATTTGCATTATCTGTAAGATTACTATTGAAATAGTTTTATTACAAAGATTTAAATAATTTTCCTATTAAATCATGTGATAGAAAGTTTTTAATATCTCTTTCAATATTTGTTAGAAATGAGTGCGTTAGCAAAGATTCTCATAATACCAGAGTTGAAATATACTGTACTTATTCGCATGCAATGAATAAATCAAGCTGATCAAAAGACAAACCGACATCATTATGTCATATTTATTATCATTTAATCAGGCGTCTCTACTTAAAAAATGTAATTAACACCCAATTGTGTTATATAACTTGGCACACAAACGTTAATTAATTCAAACATTATTTACAATTATATGTCAATTAATTCAATCATAAATTTAAATAATATGCTATTATATCCACACTGATTCGGTTTAGGTGCCATTCCGGTACATAATTAGACCAGTTGTAGTCTAAAATATCGTTCTTGGGTATTTTGACGTGCTTTAATCTAAGTCAATTTCTCTATTTATTGCATCAGTGTAGTTTTTGTGTGTTATGATGACTTTAAAAGTTGTTTTTGTCCATTTCCAAAGACCTCATTTCTGTGCGGGAGGATTAAAGATGTACTTCCCGCTAGAAAAAATGAGTTTTTCAAACTGAACAATTTAAACAGTGTCCCAACAGAATGAAGATTTCTAAAGATTTCTGAAAAAAGTAGATGGCTAGCATATTATATTACGGGCCTCTTTTGACCCAAATAATGTTGATGTTTAAAGTTGAAGACAGTGTATAATTCATCAAGGCTAGTGGAATTAAGCCTCAAATGTGAAAGATATACTTTTATAGGATATTGAGTACAGAATTTGACAAGGCCATGTCATTTAATGTTCGGCAATTCGATAGACAGATTTAACAAGTCAATACCAAATATACATCCTTGTTTTACTACTACTAAATTTGAATAAGTGCACAAAACATAAATACATTGAATATGTCGCGATTACAAAATATAAAACCTTTGTTTTATTTCCACCAAACTGTATCAGGTAGACAACTGATTAGTTGATTAATCCTTCTAAGCCCTTATTTACCACATTCTTTTTCACCATTTCTTTTCCACCATTTTCTTCTTCACCATATTCTTGTTCACAATTTCCCTCTTCACCATCTTCTCCATCACCATGTCCTTCTTCACCATATTCTTGTTCACTACATAAACTAAAGCCAAAATATTTATCATTTACCTCGTTTCAATACTAAAAAAAATAATCAGATGACAAAAATTTATATTTTGTCACTTCTCTACTGTATCTTACTTCATATATCATTTGAACTTATTCTCCAGATTAGTAAACAAAATAAATCGTGTTTTATTTAAAGCAAATACATGTAAATGTTTAAACTGAAATAGATCTTTTCGAATTTTCTTATCCTTCTTCTTTAGATCCATTTTCCTTCCTCTGTATTCTACTATTACTTCTACTAATACTTCTTCTCCTTCTTCTCCACCATCTTCTTCTTCACCGTTTTCTTTTTCACCATTTTCTTCTTCACCAACTTCTTCTTCTCCATTTTCACTCTTCACTATCTTCTTCATCACCATTTTTTTCTTCACCATATTCTTCTTCACTACCTTCTTCTTCACCATTTTGTTCTTCACTATCTTCTCCTTCACCATTTTAGTCTTCACCATTTTTTTTACCATCTTCTTCACCATTTTCCTCTTCACCATCTCTTCTGCACCGCCTTCTTCTAGACCACTTTCTGCTTCACTATCGTCTTCTACACCATTTTCTTCTGTGACATTTTCTTCTTCAACAACTCCTTCTTCAACTTTTCACCATTTATATTTCACATTTTTTCTACACCATTTTCTTTTTCACCATCTCTTTCACCATCTTCTTCATTGTCTTCTTCTTAACCACTGTCTTCCTAACCATCGAATCCTTTGCCATCTACTTCTTCACCATTTTCTTTTTAACCACTTCCTTTCACTTTCTTCACCATTTTCTTCTTAACCACTTTTTTGTTCATACTCTTATTCTTTACCATATTTTCAAGATATTTTTTTCGCCATCTTCTTCGTCTTTTTTTCCTTCTCGTAATCACACTAAATTAATATCAGAAATAACAAAATCGCAAAGGAAATAAAATATGCATCAATGTATCATATACTATGATTTTAAACATTTTTTCGAAATAAATGAAGGAAACATTGTCTTTCATTTCCAAATACCATACTTTATTCATAAAATCACCAAAAGTCCAAAAACAGTGTCAGTTAGGTTATACATGAAATCATTATATCATCACTGTTTAAGTAATATATTGTTGTATGAAATTTATTCTTTAGTTAATAAATCTGCCTACAAAAAATCACTATGATGTAATAATCGGAAAAGAAAATGATTACAATGTAATACGTATAATGCATAATAGCACATAAAATATGACAAATCATTATCGCATGAAAACAAAAAAAAAGTACGAAAAATGACAATGTCATTGAAAACCTATTAGAAAAAGTAAAAAAGCAATAACATACTGATAATTTAACAGTAAGAAGGGGACATTATCTACCAATACAAAACTGTAAAATGTGTGTCTCAATTTATTTCCCTTGTCTACGAAAGCTGTTTATAAACAATATTACACTAATCTAACTTGTACATTGACAACACTTGTTTTACAGTCAATGATGGCAACAAAGTCGAATTGATACGCTAATTTGATTCATTTCAAGTGAAATGAAAAGAAAATTATGTTATAACAACTGGCCAGATAACAACATTCTTTATAAAAATAATATACTACATTATGATAATTTGAGTAATGTTATGTACGGTGACACGAATCTGAAAAAGAAGATCAAGAGCAATAGAAAAAAGTTTTCTCAGTAAAAATTGCAGACTTGTTTTGATGTATTATGTTAATGAGATATAATGTGAAGTAAATTATAACGCATGCCTCTAACACCGGCTTAATGTATTACCGTCCTAACGGGCACTATAAGGAACTAAGATATTGACAACATAAGTCAGTTTGAACCCACGGCCCTATTTTCCAATGTATTTAACAGTAGTTTTAGCCTTCAATGCGGTGGTAATGCATTAATATGGTCATACCTAAACCATGATTCAATCTCAAACAAAGTACAAACGTAAAATTTCAAATCAAGGTAATTAGACGAAATATCAAGTAATCATGAATATTTTAATAATCATGATTAATAATTTAAATATTATATTTCATTTAGATAATTTGTTCGTTAAATATAGATTATCTTGAATAAATCTTCTGTTATATCTACATATCATAATAGACTTACTTATGCAATGTAAGTTGGCTCCAATCAGTTAAAAAGCTAAGGACTATAAAATTTGAAATTCTTTAATAATTCAAAGGAAGCTCTTAAAATAAAAAAATCTAAATCTTAATTGAATATTGATAATTTGTGCGATACTCAGCCAAATTTTAGCGGCAATCATTGCAACGCGTTTCATTTTGTGGCCATTACGCACAATGAAAATGATTTTCTGGAAAAACTTGGATGATCTGAAAATTTTCGCTCAAGTTGCTGGTCCAAACCTCAGAATGGTATTAAAATCTCGAGAAAATATTTCCAGTCCCATCATGCAAAACAACCTTAGTGGAGTTCTTTTAAATTACGATCACCATCCTAAAATCTTCTATTAAGTTTTTTATCATGGTAACTTGACTTATCTAATGTACGTTCATCGAAATGTTTCTACAACCATTGGTCATATATAACATTTTTTTGCAAAATCTTATGAGATATTATGACCAGTTCAGTTGTTTAATGCACGTTGACAACGAGTGTTTTTATATCCATTGGTTTGATCACAACTGCGTCCTCTACATCTAACTTTTTCTTTGTATACATCATTGTTAAAGATGTTTCAGTGGCAAAATCTATTGTGATGATTGAATCACGGAACATTTCCGATAAAGTCACCTGAAATGGTACAATCAAAAAATTAATGAAAAGTGTATAAAATAACTAATACCGACAAGTTAAAGAAACTCATTTCATCGAAATTATTAGAAAGAGCATCGAAACAAGAGGCAATCTGATTTGTATGTAGGGACGTATCAGATTGCCGAGTGTTTTGTTGTTCTTTCTCATTTATATCATAGGCAAAGATAAAAACACGTTCCCTGTCGTTAAAATATGAATCGCAAGAAAATATGTTACCATTAAACGAGCATCTGGATATGATTTTTCTATCATTGTCCCTTTCCCTGTTGTAATGATGAATAAACCCTAGTACAAACTAGCCAATCAACCAATCTTATCCCCGTCAGACAGTTCGACAGGGTACAGGTAACTAATCTGATGAGTATGAAAGGTGAATTTTCAAGACAATTCCTGTTAATTAAAAATAACTCCGTTCGTCAAATGCCACCATTCCATGATGATCTTTGTAATGCATGTTTTATGTATTGATAATCATGAATATGACAAAATAAAAAGACCAACCCACCATCGGACTTACATTTTCTCCTAAATTTTCACAGTTGTCGTTGATGCTATCAAACGTGCAATCCAGTCCTACTCTATGAAGTATAAGAGCTGATAAACTTTTGTTCACGTGTTGCTCACCACTGTCACTGATTGTACGTAGATTTAACATGTGTACATCACATGGGAGATTCTTAGTAAGTGGGGAAATGTTTGACTGTAACGGAAAATTCCCTGAGAAAGTTGGATTGCTTAAAAATGTGAACAAAGGGTGGATCAATTCCAGGGAAGACTGGTGTCCCATTGGTGACGGGAAAACGATTTTTCTATCATTATCCTGTAACAAAACGTCATTAATATATATTATTGATAAGATCAAAAAAATGAATTAACAGAAGAATCTGGAAGAGTTGCTTTTTTTAATACTTTAATAATATTTTATATTAGAATTTAATAGAAACAATCTTTCTAGATTTGATGAAACTTTATTTTGCTCCAATAAATTTTGTATAAAAGCAAGCATTAAATTCTACAATTTTCAGTGTTTTGATCATTTTGTCATATAATCGAATTTCTCCTTTTAATAAGAGCTTATGGGAACTGTTGTCAAAATATGTCTCAACATGACATTTATAGTGAGTCATTTCTTTTTTTATTAGCCCTAAGCCTGCATGTATGTGTAATGAATTTACCCTGTTTTGAACTCTGAACAGTCAATTCAAAGTTAAAGAGATATATCTTGATCTAATTAAAATCATATTCTAACTGTACCCTAAGGGTAAAGGAGCGAAAACGATGATCTGATTTTTAATCTAAACTGGTGACAAAGACTAAATGTTTTTGGTACTAGAAGATAAGGGCTGAAAATAAGTTACATGTTACTATTAAAAGAATCGTAATAATTACTAATACAGTGTACCAAATAACTAAATTTTATTAAAATACAGTTTAACCAAAGTACATGTAATTAAGAATAATAATGAAAATAATAGTAAAAACTATTTGAAAAAGAATTAAAATCGCGTTGTAGACTCTATATACCGATAAATCCTAATTACAGACCAGATAAATGATTAATTGTAAGGATCTTTTACTTACACAACCTTGAGCACCACAATTTTCAATGAGAAGTCTGAACCTACTCGGTGTAGGTTTATTATCTACAACACCTGAAATATAGATTAGGTTACAGATCAATTAAGTGTAAAGATCTACCTAAAATATAATTAAAAAATTTAGAAAAACGGAGATCCCTCATAAGCAATGAAAATAAGTAAAGTGTATGAAAACTGCAGACTCCGTTGGATTGAGTCTGCTAATGAGTGATAATATAAACGTGCAACATCTCCCATACCCCCTAGCAACGGGTTTAACCGGTATTCAGTCCTTAACTATAAACGTGTTGGAATCAATTTCTTTGTTAAATGTAAAGACATTAACTATTCAAACAATTCATTAAGGCTTTCAAATCATGGAATTGGTACAATAATATTGTAAGACATAAAAAAAACATCAGAAGACAAAAATCTACCTTGTAAAAGACCTCTGTTATCATCCTGGTTCAGACGTCTATCCAACATTACTTCCAAAACTCCTGATAATATGAAGAGGTTAAAACAATATAAACATATCTACACTTGATAAAAAAAAGAATCATAGTATTACAATGTATAATAGTCATAACATAATTGCCGAGGTCATATTCTTTGCACAAACTTCCGTCGGCGCTCCTTTGATATGAATAAACAAATTATTTACTAAACTTTTAGATTTGATGCAGAAATTAATTAAACAATTCGATCTTTTCTCCAAATTTTATTTAGAGTGGGTACTTTAAACTTTAAAAAGTATAAAAGCTTAAGTTAAGTCGAATTTATCACTTAAAAATTAATCCTTAAACAGTAAAAATAGTGTTTATATTATCGTAAACATCTCGTAAAGATGCTCGTGATGAAGAAACTTTCTACGGATGCTTTTGGAGAAGTGTTTTGCCAAAAAAGATAACTAAACAAAAATTTAAATAAGCCACATCAATTTTTTTTTGTTTCAGACGACGTTAAAAGCTTAAATAGAAAAGTTTTATTGATTCTGAAATAAGTATTAAAATTAGGATGGCTTTTTAGACATATTTCTTTAAAACAACATTGCATTCGGTTTCAGATACATGTTAGATAAGATCACTCTGAAACCAACCTGATTCGGGATTTGAAAATCCCAGAGAGTTTGCAGTCAAAATAAAATGTCTATGAAGGTCATCTTGTATGAACGCCATGGTTGTGAAAGGATAGACATTACCTTGCAATGGCAACTTGCTATGCACTTTTCGCTTCTGTATCTAACAATAAGACAAAACAGTTACAAGTAAATGAATCAATTACTTTTGCAAAGTTCACCTTTACTGTTTTTATAATGTTTGTGTCGAGAATCAAATTCTTCTTAAATTGATACCAGAGGCACGGAAGATGTTCAACATTTCCTTGTCTCACGCAAACCGATTTTGCGTTCTTCAGCATTCGTTGCATTCATTTTCCATTTTTTACTATCCAGTTGTATAATAATCTCATGCAAAACCATGTTGTGATTTAGAACAGCAGGTGCTCATGTAGTAAATTTTAGAAAATACTAATACTATAATTTGCAAAAGCCTCAGTATTTGTAAATGGAAACAACCTAGTTCAGCCAGTTAAAAATTATATCTTCCAATTTAGTTATTATTTTCATACATTTGAATTAGTAAAAACATTCTTTCTACATCAGAAATCACAAGCAATACTAAATCTATTTAAAAAGAAAAATTTTATAAAAAGTGTCATTGTATATAGTCCATGTTTATTTCTTCTGCAAATTACATTTAACATTATTTCAATAAAGATCATGAATAACAAACATTCAATTTAAAAGTACTGTAGTAAATACTGTAAATCACTTTATTTTCAAGATTACGTAATTTTTGCGTTCATTCGCGGATCAATTCATTGGCTCGCTAATTCAGCACTTTCACATAGAAAAAGAGTGACAGTTATAAGCAAAGTTAATATAAGATTCAGTAACACACTCACAAAATGTAGATTTGAAAACAAAATCAGTTTGGCGTTTGAAAAGTCAACTATGAAAATTACCTGAAAACCATTTAAGTCGGTGTAGAATGTTCTATCTGTATTTACTATGTCAGTTGTAATTCTGATTGCAAGCTCAAAGTTTCTCTGTTTACGAACGTCCACAATATTTTGAATGTCAACAAATTGACTTTCAATACCTACAATGAATAAAATAATTACAACTGGTATATGTAATATGCACATATAAGTAAATCTGCATAACAGATAAAAAGTATTGCAAGTTTGTTACGTCTGTTTTCATTGGATAATTGTATTTTTAGTATATTAAAGACTATTTAACAATTTTATAAATGTATTGCTTGCGTTACATGAATAATAACGAAAACGCTGGAAAAAATAAAAGTGATCCTCAAATACAATCCAATATGGAACTTATATTGATGCTTTAATTTGTATTTTTTTTAATACAGTAAAACATTGAGATGTGTGTTACATAGAGTCTTCGCCTGCCGTTTCTGGCAAAACTACTACAGGATACGAAGTCAAACATAAGAGATCTACTATATTCTTAGCATAAAAGCTGGTAACTGAGCGCTTATATCGCAGATACTAGGTACTACCTTCGGTGTTGTAAGTTACACAACTTTTAGACATATATTGATCGAAGGTAATTTTTATGAGGAAATGACGTATACTGTGCATGATGTTAAGTTCTTCCTCTACGCCTTTGTCTCGACAGGCGGTCTACCTAAACCACCTTACTTGGATAACTATCCAGTAATTACAAATTTCTCTTCAAGTGTCCGACCGCTAATCCCACGTGATTTCTCTTTGTTTGTTTGCGGCGCACCAAGGTTATATGACGACTGAATAGGAAAAATGATTTGGGCTAACCCCTGGTGTTACAAACTCAAAGAAACACGAGGGTTCAAACCCCCTCACCTGCTTGACCTAAGAGATACATAGACTCGAGTAATTCAAACCCGTTTAGTCGCCTCTTACGACCAGCATTTCTGCGCAGAGAATAAATAGATACGGTGATAGGGGATCAACAGCCTCTATGAATGAAGAACCATTCAGACAAATGACCATTTTACAATATTCAAGACTGAATGTTATTCTAGAATTTTTCGATTACTCAGTCCTTTAAGGTAATCCTTCAGTGATTTCTGATTCAGCAATAAAAGACAAAGGACCATTAGACTCAATGTTCGAGATCAATTATCACTGACAAATTACGCCCTCGTATAAGGGCCCAACCAGTGATCAATGTATTACAAACCCAATGCTCTCCCTATTGAGCTAAATGGGCAGATTTCTTGGTACTGTATACTCATTTTGTTTTGATCAGAAATTGAGAAAATGGAGTACATTTTAAATAATAAGTTACCTGTTGAATTATATAAAGTAACAATATGTTGTGGAACAATATCAGAGTACACGTGCACCTGTGATCTGATTGGTCCTCGGATGACGTATATCCTAGGGAATTCTTTCTGAACCAGAACCTGCAATTACAAGTAGTGACAATTGGAAAACCATGACAACTTGAAGAAATGGGTTAACCTATTTTTTTAAAAATGCAAATCTTAATAAAACAAAGATCAATCTTAATCAAAAACTAAAAATATGTTTAAACTTCAACTTATTCGAGTCTTGTGATTTCGGTCTTAAGGATAAAATATCTTAATTTCACTTTTTTGCCTTGCCTTATCTTATTTATTATTTATTTATTTATTTATTTATTTATTTATTTTATTTATTTTATTTATTTATTTATTTGTTCAACTAATTTATTTATTAATTTATTTACATATTAATTAATTAATTTATTTATTTATTTTTTAATTTATTTATTTATTTATTTTATTTATTTATTTGTTCAACTAATTTATTTATTTATTTATTTATTCCACTTTTGCGGAATCATCTGCTCAACCTTTTAGCTAGTTGTATTGCCTACATAATAAACGAGATACCGTCAAAAGGCAAAAATTACGAACTTAAGTAATATTTACATATATGTTTACCTTGGCAGGGCCATCAGGAAGGAAAATATATGCACCACTTTTTTCACTTTTTGACGCTTTTGTTCCGTATGAAAGAAAGTCAACTTTTGACCTGTACCAAACACCTTCTCTTTTGTTGAAAATCAACTAAAAATTAAAATCAAAACATGTTGTCTTGTTGGGGTTTTTTTAAACAAAAATCCAAAATGATATCTGGAAAGGAGTCAAATATCACATGAAAGCAATAAAAACAAAAACAATGGCTAGTTGAAAATCGTAAATTCTAAAAATCAAAATCTCTCACAACCCCTCCATAACACCGGCTAAAGCAGTTTTCAACCCTCAACGTTAAACATATTTGACTCGATAATCCTGAAAGACTAGATATATAAAACAAGACTGCCATGATACTATATCACTAAATAGATATCGTTTAGCAGGGATATTAAATATGTTAAGGAACAAAATTATTGATGACGCTGGCACTGAAGTTGATGATTTTGTTTACCTGCAAAAGACCAGTCGCCCCGTTAAAAACCGCTTTCATATTGTTATTCTCTAATACAATATCATCACTTTTATCTGCCTCAATCATTCGGCTCCTGAAATAAATGATAAAATAATTGCATCAAATTTATATATATTGCTCTATTTTACTTGCAATTTATCTGTTAGTTTCTCCAATCAAATAAATGGTGACTGTGTTCAAATTGGCATATATAATTTACATATGTCTAAAAATTTGTTAATTATTCACTTTTCGCTGATAATACGATACATTGTGCTTCTTATAAAAATACTTGCATTTTGATCGACTTATTTTACTCACACTTTCGTTCGATCTGTTTTATCTAAAGATGTTACTATAGCAACAAAAGCCTTATCATTATCGTTTCCAGAAACATGTTGAATAGTGTACAGAGCTATTCCAAGGCCACTTACTGTTACCTCAAACGTAATCTGAAATATGAAAGACGAATTTTCCAACAACTTTCCAAACACAAAGCACATGGAATTATAGAGACAATTTTAAAATCTCTAAAAGTGGAGGTGTCCGGAACGCAATGAAAAAAGTAAATATGTGAAAATATAAGACACAGTTTAATCAAGTATGTTCATGAGAAATAATGAGTGGTGCAAACTCTCTCACGCCCCATAATCGAGAAGTGCAATCTCTTTCACACACACCCTAGCACCGGTTTAAGCAGTATTCAATCTATCTTCAACACAGTTAAATTTTTGGATCTATGATACAATGGCATCATATTAAGTTAATAACTAGAGAATATATTTACAGTTATGGTTTTGTATTTAACCATATGCTCAAAGACGAAACCGTATTGTTCATCCATGACAAAGCAAGCAACATCTTTCTCCATAAGAAAGTCGTCATAAGGGATAAGGGTATTATAGTAACAAATGGCATAAAAAACAACTTAACATATCAATGGCTTGCACACTTTGTGTGACATGTGCATGAACGACTTTCCCATGTGACTAATATTAAATCAGATAATCATTCGCCTAAAACAGTCTGGTAAGACAGTCGGTGCTAGGGGGCTAAAGAGACATTGCACTTTCCATTATCTCTGATGTGCAAACACAATAAGAATCGACTCTACAAGTTTTTAATTATATATATAACTAATTATAAAGTAAGTTTCAACTTTTATTTTCTTTGCATTTTTACTGGCTTCAAAATTTTAACTATTGAAAACTTATAGAGACCAATTAATATTAAAAATGAGAGAAAAGTTTTAACTCAACATGCGAAAGGTGTAGGAGTAATTGTAAAAATATGAAAGTGGGTTATAAGACCACCAAGCAGAACGCAATAAAGAACCGTAATTTAACTACCTCCGATTCTTGACCATTAACCAATTCATTTACAAGGGATGACACGTTTACAAATGCTCCGTTTTCTTCAGTTCACTTGATTAATTCAAATTGTTCATGCTGAATTTACATTTTAATTCTTATCTCTAAACTTTTTTTATTTGTATTTATTTTTATTATTTTTATAAGTTTTTATAAGTACCTGATATATTTGAGTTGAAATGTTACCATCCTTGGTCCAGAATGGTTCGACCTGTGATTTTATATACCGCCCATTATTGTCCCGTACTACAACGTGTGGTTTGTTAACCAAAACTGAAACAACTGACCGCCTTTCATATCCGAGTGAGTTGTAAAACATAACAGATCTTTAAAAGAAGCAATTATATGATTTTATCATATTAAAATGTTCATTTGAAAGACCTGTATATTTTCTTATGGTAGAAGTCTTTATGATAGAATTTGTATATTAAAGTTGGAACTTTACAAGTTGCTCAACACGGCTAAATTAACAATTTTGCTTACAAGCTTTCATTGGGTGTGCTTTCGTTGATAGTGCAATCTAGCGGCAGTTTCGGTGTCCTAGAATCACCTGTATTTGAATACAATATTTGGTATAATAAAGAGTTACAAGTCATCTGCAGATGCCTTTATATGACCATTGTCCAAGTGGCTTTCAACAAGATAGTTATAAAATATTATACAGGTAACTCGGGGTTTTTCGTTGCTGTTGTTTTTTGTTGATATTTTTGGGGGAGGTTGTTGTTGTTGCTGTTGTTGTTGTTGTTGTTATTATTGTTGTTGTTGTTGGTATGTTGATGATGATGATGATGATGATGTTGTTGTTGTTGATGATGATGTTGGTGTTGTTTTTTAGGGGGAGGTTAGGGTTGTTGCTGTTGTTGATGTTATTGTTGTTGTTTCTTAAAATAAAACTTTATATTTAAAAACACCAGAGGCTCTTTAGTTAAACGTTGTATATAAATATTGTATTCCAATATTTATTTAACAGAGTATCAGCAATACCATATACCTTGGTACACCATGCTCCACACCAAGATCAAGAACGGTAGATTCTGAGCCATATGTCTGTTTATTTGTTGTTTCATCCTGTATCAAATAATACAATTTAAATTGTATACAAACAATGTCTTTAATTCAAATGATGCAACTGTCATTCTAAGTAATGATAGTAAAAAAATAACAACAAAATTTAACAATATCAAAATGTAAGCAAAAATCAATGGGCAATATGTAATTCTTTTGTTTCCAAACATTTTTACTCCTATGAAATTAAGAAGTATTTTATCATAGTGCAATATGAATAAATTGTATAAAAAATATATTTTTGTTGCTATGAAAATGTTTTCATTAAATAAAATGTTGTTTTACGGGGTTGGTTTTGTTGTATTTGCGGTTTTTGAATATTTGAATTTATCATTCACATGTGATATTCTGTTTATATTATTTGTGACGTCATTTTTGAGACGGGTTGACGGCTCGCACGTATGCACATTTAGCCCGTAATAAATAATTAAAAAAAATCAAAATATATTGTTATGTAAATGATATGTTACCAAATTGTAAAATTGTGCCGTGCTGTTATATGTAGTTTCATCATTTAATGTCAAATAAAAAGCACATTCCCTCATCACCACTTTCATATCTTCTAATGACTTTACAAGTCTGAAAAAATATAAAAACATGTTCAACTACATATATTCAATTTTTGAAAATTGCATTATATACAATAATATACATAATTAAAAATTTTTACAAGTTATGTATGTATATACTATGATTTTGAAGCTAATTCCCTATCAAACTGCGAATACCTTTTACCAGTTGTGTATGATGTTGAAAACGTTACTTACATATTTTCTCTGTGCATATTCAAAAGATGTTAATTTTGCATTTCAAATTATCAGGGTTTTTATTTTTAATATCAACTTCGAGCAAAATATATTTTTAAAGTAAATTATTATTTTTGTAACTCTTATTTACCTTTCTGTGTAATCTTTAACAACATTTTCCCTGGAAGTGCCAGTAATACCATCATGGTGTTGAAACAAGGCTAGATTCCTCCGCGCAGACATCACCTTAGTCATAAGTTCAAACACGCTCCTTGGGGAGCGTTTAGCCTTCGTAGACGCCAAAGTAAATAGAATTTCAGCGCCTCTGTAAGAAATGGGAATGACAACGTAAAGTTTGTACAGTGTACAATAAGAAATATAACAGCAGATTTGAGAAATAACAATGAATAATGCCATTATTATATTGGAAAGAAAGAAAAGCAACAAAAAAGAAACGTAAAGTCTCAATTAATGATTTAGTATTGTAATATGACACATGACAATCTTTAATATTTTTAAATGAATATATTGTAGCTATATTGATTTAGGGTAAAAATCTCTAATTGCAATGTGGAATAATGAAAAGAAGAGAAAAAAAAAACAAGAAAAAAATGCTGATTTTTTTTAACTAAGAAACATTAAATTTTATAAATAATGTTTGCAGAAAATGGATGTGTTTTTTACCCGTCATGGTAGGATTGTGGGCATATGATATGTCTGTTTGGTGTGATAGTGTTCTCAAAAAAGTGATTACAAATAAGATGTACTCAAATCAATGAAAGTTGATGACATAGTTTGGAACCTTTTTTGGCACAACGATATATCACCGTAGACGCCATCACTTTCTGCCTTGAAACAACTTTATGTTTTATCTATGTCACTGAAATCAGTACATTGTATATCAAGGAAATCTTTTCCTTTTTTTAAACAATTCTTGAGTATTTACTTTGTCAATATGAAAATATTGGAGAATTTCTTTTTTTAGAGCTGCATGCCTCCAAATGAGCCAAAATATTTATTGGGCCTTGAAGAAAAATACCTTAAATGGCTTTCCAGTTTTCTGCTCAGATGTTTCTGGAATGGACGAGATGTGAAGTAACCACTCCAATAATGGTCGTCCCTGTCAGCGTATGCAAAGAAATCACCAGTTAAAGAATCTATCCGCTTCTCTTCTGGGTATGTGACGTCATCACGCCTACTTCCGGTTGATATCTCTTCGTGTACAATCCGAAAATAATCGGATAAAGTGCCAAATTGTGCCTTGAAACGAAAGTTTAGCTAAATGACAATATAACTCTTCTTAACACTTGTCACGCTTAATTTCTTTAATGAACTTGTTCGATTTTCAACCTAGACAAAATCCTTTATAACTTTTAGGGAAACTTTTCAAATATGCACTGATTGAAATGCAAACAGTGCAGACCATTATCAAACGATACGAAAGTGTCGGTTGAGCTTGGTCTGCACTGGTCACATTGCCGCAGTAGGCTACGTGAACTTGTCGTTAAAAGTACATAGGCGTGAATGCTTCAAAATAGCAATCTCTGAGTGACTAGTGTGGTATATATATATCTCATTAACATTGTCACAAAACTATTTGGTCAAGTTTGAGTGAGTCAGTTTTAGAGAAGCAATGTATACAAAAGAAAACATTCTAGATAAATAATTAAGAAACATTACACTTTTATTCTTTTAAACAAATATTCATTAACACAAATCTTATCTTTTCCATTTCAACCCACATTTTAATTGAAGTGTTATAGCGTGGCGGCTGTAAGAGTCGCCCAATACTTGTTTACATGTTTTTGTTGTTTTGTGTATATTTTCAGTGTTAAAAATACATAATTTAAGTTATTGTCGTAGTGATAGACGTTGCATAATTAAAATGAATCTCGTGAACAGACTCATTTTAACCAAGTCCACTGTTTTAAATGACTACACTTAAAAAAAATATTGTTATATGTAATAACGTAAAAGCATTATGTTTTATCTTCATTATTTGTTTTTGATTTTTGTTTTCTGGCATATTATTATCTGTTTCATTTGTTGTTGTTATTTATTTTAGTTCGATTGTGTAGAAAGCTATACGCTTATTAACACACCTTCGAATCCGTTCCTGGAACCAACCAGTACTGAGCAATTAGTGTAAAACTTCTTGCTCAAGGAAACAATGACTTGCCCCTTCGGCTGGCGATCATTAGATTACTAGTCCGACGAGTCAACCACTCGTTCATGCCAATGCTGTTTATGTTAAAGATCTATAAACATATTCTTACCGTACCTGAACGCCTAAGTTTGTATTACTGTTGATATATTCGAAAAGTTTTAAATAATTGGTAAATTGCTCGTCCCATTCTTTAGCTGTTTGATACCGGAAGTCATCACCAAGGGGAACCAGCACAACATTGCCTTTAAATAACATAGCCTTTTTCTTCCACTGGTCTACAATTGTGCGAGACCTAAAATAAAAAATAGATAATTTAACAGTATTCTTGTATTTGACATTTGTTTAAAGATCTATTCATTTGTCTTAATGAGCATAAAATGCCTTCAAATAAGGTTTAATGCTTTTCAAAAAGACTAATCCAGCACTGTAATAATATTTGATTGACTTGTGTCAGAAAGTTAAAGCTGTTACATGATTGGTCGAGATTATGTTTGATTGACAGCTACGCCACGCCTCAATATTGTTCGACACGGTGAAATCTATGCAAAAATAATTTTGAAAAACTATCTTATTCATCCAGGTAATTTTTATAATTAGTTCTCTCGTTCCCGTTCATTGTATATCCTTACATTCTATTTGTTTTCGTTTAAAACAAAACGAAAATAGACGCTTTTCTAAGACCATTAGTTTAGAATCCATCTTTGATCTTTATAAAAAAGTACTATTCTCTATAGCTATCTATGAATAGCATGACAGCAATTGTCACAAACTGCATAGATCCAGTTTGAGTCTGTTTTCATAAAACAAAGAAACCATGTAAGGGCAACATCGTTCATACCCTCTAGCACCGCCTAAAGTATTAGGCATTTAATCTTCACAAACCTTTTCTCCACGTTTGCTTCTGTAATTGCCTCAACTCGAGACTGTTTCCATGGGCACTTTAGTTTACCAACAGGCCTTCTGGCGAAGTCGAATTCGCAGCAGACGGCTGGGTCGGGTCCGCACGTGTGAGGAATATCGTACGAGTAGAACGGCATCACGTGACTTAACATATCCGTGTAACCTTCACTGTCTAGATGATTAAGTTTTGCATTAATTTTGTTGGTATTGACCAGTTTATAACTCTATATAGAATTGCATGATGTCTTTACATTTATTTGAGCATTATATGGTATTTTGGCACATTACAATTCAAGCTGAATGACTTACAGTGATAATGGAACGAAGTAAACCAAGTTGATAACAAAAACTTTTCCGAGGGATCACTTTTTCCCAGATTTGTGTTAGAAGTTGGGGAATTTTAAACGCTCAAATGAATTTTGATATAAACATCCAACAAGAAAAAAATCGATTATTTACCCCATATCTGTCGCCACATGAATTCCAACTGTCTCGCCTTGGCCAAATACTTTTTCACGGCATAGTGGACTCGTTGCATAACCATACCGTTAAAGCCTGACTGACCGAGCATGTATGCCATTGTAGAGGAATGGCCGAATGGATCTATCGCCCATCCTGAAGTAGGTTTCACGCCTAGCGATGACAAAATAAAAAAAAATAAAACATTGCGATAAATTTTCTCTCAAAAATATAAAACATGTGATTGTGTACAAGTATACTGGATGATTCTATGGTACAAACCGCGTCAAATTTGCTTCTTGTAACTGAGGTGATATTATAGGTAGTGCGTATAAGCGTCTAAAAAACTTTGACATCCGCTTTATTGTTTCCTACTGCTTTCGACAAACCATCAAGAAGGATTTTAATAATTGTTTTTATATCGAAGTAAAGTATCAACCCATAAAACCTAAATATGTCCATGTTTCATTTTGGATAAGACCATTAGCACGGTAAACTATATTCCAGCAACCTGAGGGTTAAGAATTTACATTAAACGAATTCAATAAAGAACCCTTATATATTGGCAATGCGCCACGACTTCATAATTTGGATAAAAAAATACCCACCAAAAGAAGTAATAGAGATCTCATGAAAGCAAACTGAGATCAAAAATATGTACATGTAAATGAAATTTGCAGACTCGGTTTCAATGAGTTTGTTGATAAGAAGAGTTAAACATCTTTTTTGACCCTTCTCTCACCGTTTTGAGAAATGTTCAATCTTCAGTAGTCAATCATCCACAGGGAGAAAGAAAAATATAACAACACTGGGATGAAATATATTACGGTAAATTATCCTCAAGGAGCAAGAAATATATTGCAACACCTGATATTAAGTACGGGGATTTTTTTTCAGCTGCCACACGGCAAATACATTATCTGCTGTTATAAGTATAAAGCACATTTTCTTGACTGTAATCATAAATATAATCTGTAAAATAATACATACCAAGAGTTTGACTAAGCCATTGGTGTCCCTCTATCAGTTGGTCAAGCATGGCAAAGTAATGTGTACTGGCCTCGTCAGCCATAACCCATCCTCCTGTCACTATCTCAAGCCGACCTTCATCTAGTAAGCTGTAACATGATTGTTTTATATAATTATAATAAGTTAGTCTTTTTATTGGGCTTTAGACTTCATATTAGTCTAAGGCTAAAAGGCCGAGGGCTAGTATGACAGTCTAAAGCCCAGTAACAAGCCTATTATGAAAACACTTAATTATTGACAATTTTAATAATTAACTACACATAATCTAAAATCGTTAAGTACTTAATGAACAAAAAATAACTAATGTGAAATTCCATTGTTGTGAGTATTGCAAATGGGATTCTTGTTTTAAAAATGTCTCGAAAAACTACCTTGCAGCAATTGAAAATGGCGCTTTTTTCTTCAATGAAAACAAGGCAGATTCATAATGGCCGAGCTGGAGAGCCAATCAAAATTCTGCAATCTCATAATAGCCGAGTTTTCTCATAAAGGCTGTACTTTTTGCATAATGGCCTTGTTTTTATATTCATAATGTGGTGAACTTCATATTAGCCTTACATTTAAAGTGAAAATGTGCCCGATATTGAAAAATTAATTAATAATGCACCAGTCAATGTAATACAGTATTGCAGTATTTAAAATAAATTCTAACACATTTGCTTTGGTAAATCGTGAACTATATATTCATTTATCTTGTCAAGATGCTCCTTTGTAGATTGATGAGTGAAAAGCAAAAGTATACAAACAAATAAAGATATTTTCGATTCTGCAAAATCATTTCTCACCTTTGAACTTTAAGCCTGTTGTCTACAATAAGGTCATCCCACCACAGATGGAAAAAAGAAATTTCAGCAAAAATAAATTTAGCCTCTGGATATTGCTCTAACTTCATCAACATATTGTTTAGAATGTCTTTTACGTGATAAGTATAATACTCTGTGTACGTCATTAGCCATCCTGTAAGGTCACATAAATTATATTTCAGTTCATATCATCCGGAACACTTCGGCGTTTATTTCAAATCGACTTATTAATAAAGAGCATGTTCGGAGAGGACCGAAAATATTCCCTTTGGTAGTGGTGGTATTAGTTTACCATCCGAATCACAGCAATAAGCCACATTGAATTCATCAGAGCACAGTGCATTGTTCTAGGCAAACATTGAAGCAATTTACCAGTTCTAGTTTTGCCTTCACTTTCGCGAGGAACTGAAAACGTTTGTACATGCCAAAAGCAGAGGTACATTGCGAATGATCGTAAAAGGGATTTCATGATCAAGCACGACGAAAGTTATCTTGACCGTTCGGGAATCGAACCTGCCAGGATGAGTAACCCGAAGCTTTCGTTAAAATCACGCTAACGAAAGCGTTAGCGATCGCGTTACGAACACGTTAGTGATTTTACCGATTGTTTTTGTTGCATAACCAGAAAGCATTGTTATGTTATCGCTAATCAGTCGTTAGTAAAATTCATTAACGAAATCGTTGTGTAATCGTTAAGGGTATACACAGCATTTTGGCACCACCTGTTATTAGCTTTTCCTGCATAGATTACATTGCACGTATAAATAATTGTTTTTAAACTGTTTACAATTTGTTTAAAAATTGTGCAAATGTGCAGCCATATATATCTGTGAACACAGCTGCTTGAAAGAAACAATTGACACTCTGTATGAATCGGTTTGTTTGTTTGTTTGTTGTTTGTTTGTTTGTTTGTTTGTTTGTTTGTGTTTGTATGTATGTATGTATGTTGTATGTATGTATGTATGCATGTATGTATGTATGTATGTATGTATGTATGTATGCATGCATGCATGCATGTATGTATGTATGCCATACGTTCGCCGTAAAACGAATCTAAAGAAAGCAATTCTAAGTCTTCGGATATACAATACAGAACAGAACATTATTTTATTTTGACTTGTACATAGTACATAATCATACTAAATGTGAAGATACATTGATAGAAATGCATCAACAATACAATTTCAATACTAATTTTCAATGATTTTTAAAATAAACTTTGAAGATAATGTCAAGTTACATTTTAATGGCGTTATATATAGTACGAGCTTCAGTAATTATACTAGAACGTTATTTCAAATCAACCAAAATTGATATTATAGTGTTGAGGATAAACTGTTTTAAACGTAATTAAATATGCATTTTTATATAACAGATTTCTCATCAGAAAAATTCTACAAGTTACATAAAAATGTTATATGGAATTTGTATGTTCATTAATAAAGACATATATATTCATTAATCAAATTTATCAATACAATACAATACAAAACAATACAATAACGTTTATTTGCTTTAAACATTAAACAACGTTTCTAGCAAAAACTATAGACAAGAAATACTGTTACATGAACATAATTACAACTGAACATTTTGGATTTGTAACAAAAAACAAAAGGAGAGACTAGATATAAGTTCATTGCCTCATCTTTAAGATGTAGAATATTTCGGTATGTGTGTGATGAAATAGAGTAGTACACTATCTAAGAGTAAATGTTAAAGTGCAAAGTAAATAAAAATCAATAAGATTTGGATACTTTTTGAGATAAATATACAGTGAATTAAATCCTCAATGAAATGCTATATATATACATATATCTTGATTTGATATTTCTTTGTGATGAAAAATAAATAAAGATTTATAAACAATTTAAGAGAAAATGTTAATCATCTTTCCTTTTAAAGGCAAAGTATACATTTTTTAATAAATGTGAATTATTTTTTAAGAATAAAATAATAAAATAGTTTCAAACTTTATGATTGTTGGCCAATGGCAATAATATCTTCGCTAATATCTTAATCGATGCTTTTAAAAATATTGACGCTAAATAGCAACGTGATTTTTGTTTTGATTTAAATGATGCAAATGAAGAAATGAACAGCTTTTTCTGTAAAACTTTCTTTAAATAACCTTTGTTACACAGTGGTGAAAATATTTAATAAACCTTCGTATGTTGCTAGCTTGAAAATTACATGGGAAACAAAGCAAGTTTCGATTAATAAACTCTACTTTTCATGAAAATAGAGGTTAACCATTAATTTAAAATATTTGAAAGATATATAATATTGTTTTTTTTTAATATAAACCGCTGAATTTCATATATAACCAAACACGTCAAAATATATCCATATACTGTGTTACACTCTTTCATTGTACATGAATGTCTTTATGCTGAATTCTTTAATTTCACTTTGTATATAGAACTAGTATAACTTCTAAGTCTTTTAAGTATTAAAAAATTGAAACTTTAATGTAATATTATATCTATTTAATTTCATACATGAAAGAATGTGATGTATTGCTAAACATGCAATACAAGTAGTGTTAGCTTGTTTTGAGATAAATAAGAAAGAATACTATTACATAAGATAACTAAGGCGATTAACAGGTCACTTTGTATTCTCAATGTCAGTTGATGAAATTAATCAACCTCCTTAGAAGCATTCAAACATATAAGTGTCCAAAGTCTATCAGTTATCTAAATACTCTAGCAGCATGGCGGCCATTGTCTGCGGAATGAAAAAACAACATCACTTGTATAAAGATATTTGGAATTATTCTTAAAATCATTTACGAAAGAAATGCTCACTTAAGTTTAATGAGTACGGTTACATTTTATTTTGAAAATGAATGCAGTCATAATAATAATAATAAAAATAAAAATAATAATTATGATAATAATAATAATAATAATAATAATAATAATAATAATAATAATAATAAAATAATAATAATGATAAAAATAATAATAATAATTATGATAGTAATAATGATAATAATGATAATAATAATGATAAATAAATAATAAATAATAACTTTACATATTAAGGTAGTACACCCCTAATGGGCATTATAAGGAATTGTAAATTTGACAACATAGGACAGTTATATGCATTAAATGTCACCTGTATGCAAAATTTAAACAAAATTTACCGTGTGGTTTATGAGTTATGGACATTTTTATGAACTAAAACTTTGCCATTAGAAGGGATTTTTTCAGAAATGAGGAAACTCTAAATAATCTATAATATCATCAATATGAAAAATGTTTTCCTTTTGCTCATTGTTCAGAAATAAATAATGACATTTAGGTAACAAATTAAACAAGCAAAATGAGTGTTTTTAAACGAAATGTTTTTAATATGTATTAAAATGTAACCCTACCCCACCAACTTTTAACACTAATTTGACCATTTCCCTATGTAAAAAGCCTTATTTAAAATATCCCTAAAATTTTCCAAAATGAGGGGCTATTTTCAAAGTTTGCCTAAATTTTCTTTAATGTATATTGGTTGTTTTTGCAAAATATATAATACTTTAACCGTTTAGTTTTTATTTTATTAAACTTTGAAAATATCTGGTATCATATTTGCTATTAAATTTGGCATTATTTAGTAAATAAATACCTACAATAATTATATAATTAAAATAAAAAACTTTTTTCTTCCATAGGGGGTCTGAGAGATTAATAAAAAATGTTAAAAAGAAAAAAAAGAAAGAAAAAAAATTGCCCCTTCTGGGGTTTGAACCCACGCCCCCTCAGTTTCAATACACTTTACAGTGATTTTAGCCTATTTGAATACTCTTCAAAGTGGAGACAGTGCATTAGGGGTGTACTACCTTAAGACATTTACAGATTGTAACATCATATCAAGGACTTAATATCAAGAAAATAGGAAGAAAATACGTGATATAAATAATACATACTCATAAAAAGTTTGTTGAAAGAGCTTCAGACGTTGTTTTTCCTTCAACGAAGGTCTAACGTGTACTCCGAGGTAGTCGTTATTTTACGACAGTTTCGTTAGTATTTTTGGTATAACGAACGTTTCGGGTTAGAGGGTAAATTACTAACTAGAGCTTAACCAAGGCCTAACGATGATCGTAACTCTAACGAATGCTTCTGGTTACTCACCCCAGGGGTCGCCCGATTCACGGTCCAACGCTCTATCTTTTGAGCTACCCGGACTTTTATAACCTAAAATGTGTTGAGCCATTTTGTCTTAACAGTGCTCATTTATTTGCAAAGTTTGTTTTAATGGCACATGGGAAAACATTATGTATATTTCTGTAAAAATACGCCGTCCTGCCTAAAAGAATTTACACATTAATATTTTGGTCGAAACGTGTTATGTTTGTAGTACAACGTACATTAAATGAAAGCGAACACATTTAAAACTAAAACTCGAAATAAAAAAAATAAAATAATATATTGTGCAAATGACATTCTTAATAGTAGATCTAGATTTACTGTCAAATAACCTAATTACCTTTTTATGTTGTTAGCTAATTTAATACGCTAATACATGCATAGTATTGGTCACTTAAACGCGCTTATTATTAATACCGTATTTTGTCAAACACTTTAATACGCTAATCTATTGTTAGTCACTTAAAAGCCTTATATACTGTCAGTCACTTAAACAAACTTATCAATTGTCAGCCAGTTAAGTATGGTAATCTATTGTCAGTCACTTAAATACGCTAATGTATTGCCAGTCATTTAAATACGCTAATGTATTGCCAGTCACTTAAATACGCTAATGTATTGCCAGTCACTTAAATACGCTAATGTATTGTCAGTCACTTAAATACGCTAATTTATTGCCAGTCACTTAAATACGCTAATGTATTGTCAGTCACTTAAATACGCTTATGTATTGTCAGTCACTTAAATACGCTAATGTATTGCCAGTTACTTAAATACGCTAATGTATTGCCAGTCACTTAAATACGCTAATGTATTGCCAGTCACTTAAATACGCTAATCTATAATCATTCACTTAAATACGCTAATCTATAATTAGTCACTTAAATACGCTAATCTATAATCAGTCACTTAAATAAGCTAATCTATTATCAGTCACTTTAATACGATAATATACCGTCAGTCGCTTAAATACGCTTTTCTATTGTCAGTCACTTAAATACACTGATATACCGCCAGTCGCTTAAACACGCTTATCTATTGTCAGTCACTAAACACTAAATATACCGTCAGTCGCTTATATACCACCAGTCGCTTAAATACGCTAATATACCGTCAGTCGCTTAAATACGCTTATATACCAATGTATACCGCCAGTCGCTTAAATACGCTTATCTATTGTCAGTCACTTTAATATGCTAATGTACCGTAAGTCGCTTAAATACGCTAATATATTATCATATAACTTGTCAAGCAATCAAGCTTTGGTACCTGGATCTGTGTGTGAATGTGGGACAACTAGGACCTTCAGGGGTTGTGTTGCGTTCCATAAATTGCTCGGATATGTGACCTGCCATCCCTGTTTCCATACGCCACCGTACGGGTTATCGAACGGAATATTTCGGTAAACTTCGGACATCTACGTGAACAGATAATTTTACGTAAGTTTTTATTTGTTGGATCGTCAGACCAAACAAATAATGGTAGCGAAATTTCAGACTCTTATGTTGTTATTGCAAGTGCCGAAAGTAGTCCGCTTTTTTGAAGAGGTTACTTCCCTTTATATGTAACACTTATAACACCGAAAAATTTAGGGGAGATCACTGCGTAAATATGATCACATGACAGGTGGATTAATTTTCAAGCAAAATAATTCCCGAATAGTCGAATATTTCTATTTTTTTAATTCTTTATAGATATACATGCTTATAGTAAGCGCCATGATTATTTACACAAGTGTTAAACAACAGTTAGCTATTACAAACCCTAACTAGAATTATATGGTTTTCTTCAGGCCGTTGAGATGTAAATTCACCGTGGCCTAGGGGTATGCGCGCTCGCTTAGGAAGCGAGAGGTCTGGAGTTCAAAACCCAGTAAAGGCAACTCATTTTTTGTTTTCAAATTTTTTAAGTAAAATAAACATTGGATCGAATATCAGTGTTGCAATTAGTCTTATAGCCAATCTACTACAATTAAAACGCTGGAAAGCATTGGTGGCACTATACAAAAACAAATTGTTTTATAATCTCACAACCTTTACCTTTCTGACATTCTGAGACCCAAACAAATTCAGCGCCTTTTGTGCTTTGATTTTGTAGTAAGCAAGAGCTTAAATTATCAGCTATGGTATTTTGGATTAAGATGTGGTGTAAGTAAATCCAATGTATGTACGTTTGCGAAACTGTAAAACATTTTTTAATTATCTCATGTAACTTTTTTTGTTTGTTGTTTTCTTTTCGCATTAAAGATATTACATGTTAAATATTTGTTGGTTTAAACATATTTATTTACGCTCGATTGCGAAACAAGTTCTTGCAACTTATATTAATCACTTTCGAGTCCGCTTCCTGGAACCAACCAGTAGTGGTATCATATGAAGAAACATGGTCGTGGCCCGAGTAGGGCTCGAACCCATGATTTCTGGGTTGAGAGGCAGACACCTTAACCACTAGGCCACCGCTCCCTTAGACATTTATTAAACTGTAACTGTAATTAAAATAACTCATTTTTGATCATCAAATAACTTAAAAATATAGCAATGAAGACGATTTTCTAAAAACAAAGCAAACAAAAAAAGAAAAAAACACAACAACAACAAAAACGGATACGTTGACTCGCTTACGGTACCTCTAAGACGGAAACTGTGTTGTACTAAAAGCTAAGTTTTTAGAAAAGTCGTGTTATCGCATCATTAAGCTCAGACCTACTACTCGATTGCTAGAAAAAGTAAATAAATTTACCTCTATATCCGGTTTCGTTGTCAGATTACGTTTAAATACAGGACACTGGCTCAGTGGCATCTCCAAATTTGTATTAAGCTGATATGTGAAAATAACACAAAATTTTATACATGTGTATTTCAATAAAAAGCAAAAAAGATTGTGGTAAGTCAAAATTTCGCGGGCTTTGCACATTCACCATTTCCTGTCAATAGGATAATCTAACAGTCAAAGGAGATCACTCGTTCCGATTACGCAATCTTCATTTTTCGAGACACGGAGTAAAAGGGAAGGAATTCCATACCAATAACCATCCTTCAAGTTATATTTCTTAGTTCTTATTTAATGAAATGAGCGGTGTCTATGGTGGTATTCGAACCAGAGCGTGACCTAAAGTACAACTGGAGCACCCCTTCCCTAGTTATGCTAATTAATTCCTGCTACCTATTCTATTGAATTCATGAATATACATCTTGCGAAATTTAACGCTGGATTTGTGATATTTAACGGTAAGGGGAAATCTTGCTTCATTTTACTTTACAATTGTGACATTTAACGGTAGAAGATTGTGACATTTAGCGGCAATGGTGCGACGTTATGCGGTAAAGGTGCGACATTAAGCGGCAATTGTGCGACATTTAGCGGGAATGGTGCGACGTTTAGCAACAATGGTGCTACATTAAGCGGAATTGGTGCGACATTAAGCGGCAATGGTGCGACATTAAGCGGCAATGGTGCGACGTTCAGCGGTGATGGTGCGACATTTAGCGGCAATGGTGCGACGTTTAGCAGCAACTGCGACATTTAGCGTCTATATTTAGATGTCACATATAACGGCGCCACAACGGTTAGTTAAATAATGTATGGTGCTAATGACATCACGGCAATATGGGAATTTAAGCACGTCATTTTGATATATATTGATATTTTCCTCCAGAAAATATAAAACTTAAAAGTAAATAGGAAACTGTTAATTTTTTGGTGTTTTTTTTATATATGAAATATACAATACCCCTAAGTGCCTCAGCGGTGCTCCAATTTTCTTTGAACCGACAGTTTCCTGTAGTGTCTGAAAGAGAAAACATAATTAAACATTGTCGTTTATCTATGTATTGTTGCAGCTAAACTAGTTAATCACATGCAATAATATAAAGTGACTATACTGGTTTACCACATACAAATGTTCTATATCGATAATTTAATATAAATAATAGATCTAAGAATACACTTTTTTATTCAAATATAAAAATGATTATATTAATACTCACCATTCCGTCTAACGACGTATTTAACGCCCGCGTCATTAAATATAATGACGTCATGGCAACAAATATAAAAACAAATCCGTATCTAGAAATGAATCTCTTTATTCTCATTTTTGTATTCAGTCCGCTGTTATATTCAAGAATTAGTAAGCGGGTTTTTTCCAGATTAATACTTGAATGTACAATACTGGTGAACATGAAAATGAAACTGTTTTCCTCCTAAGACATCGTTATGAATATTTTATATTTTTTAACTGTTTTCAAGTTCAGGAACATCTGATTAATATTTCAAAGCAAAAATAGTGAAGTTCAAAAGGATTTAAAGAAAATAAAGGTCTTGTAAACTATGAACGCATCGATTTAAAGAAGGGAGCATTTTTGTTGTTACCTTATTGGTAAATATATTTTTGGATAAATGTATGAGTGTTAATTAGGGCGGGTATATCAATATTTCTCCTTCTCCTTCTTGTTCTTTTTCTTCTTCTTCTTCTTATTATTATAATTATAATTATTATTAATATTATTATTTTATTATTATTATTATTATTATTATTATTATTATTATTATTATCATTATTTTTATTATTATTATTACTATAATTACTATTACTATTATTATTATTATTATTATTATTATTATTATTATTATTATTATTATTATTATTATTATTATTATTATTATTATTGTTATCATTATTATTAATATCATCAATATTTTTATTGTTATTTTTTTTTATTATTCTATTATTATTATTATTATTATTATTATTATTATTATTATTATTATTATAATTATTATTATTATTATTATTATTATTATTAGACATAAAGAGATTCTACAATATTCTGCATATTTTTTCTCAAATCTTTAAAATGAGAAGACATGAGAATCCTTTAAAGGCACATTATGCCTCAGAAACAAATAATTTTTTTACTTCTTTAGAAAGGGCAAACATGAAATTTATTATGTTTATATGATGAGTTTAGAGAATGTTAGATGTTTGTTACCTGAAGAAATGAGAATCTTACGCACTTTTTTAGCCAATCGCTGGCCTCGTTACAAAACAGTTATATGACCTTTAGCACTGTATAACCTGTATCAGACGTATACATTTATTATCTGTAAAATGAATACGAAACCACGACCCAATAATACTATAGGTGAAAGTATCAAAGCGATTTCCTTATCTGCTAGATCTATATGTACAACAAAGCATCGAGTGCGTAAAAGGGGTCACCAGGGTCATTACTTAATTAAGGGTTACGGATACCGCCATTCATAAAACAAACAAAAAATGCATTGAACTCTCGAGCTTTGTTATAACCATTCTTCAACGCACCTCCCTTACAACAGAGTGTCACTTTATGCGTGTTGCAATGTAAATGAATCTGGTCTGACGGCGACGAAAATAAAGCTAAATTCCGGATGATCTCCCTTTACTCTTCGACTTACGCTACTTATCAAGGGAAGTAACCACTGCAATGAAAATCTATCTGACAACCGGCTTCTATAGTGGAACCAATCTTTTACCTAATTGACCAATGAAATAACGTCTTTCATACCCATTTACTGCAGTGGCTTATAAGAAGTATGGATAGTTTAATTTACGGTTTCTTACAGTCGACATTCTTTTTTTTTTTCTTTTTTTTTAAGACATAAAAAAATGAGGACCAAAATATCTTAATTGCTTACTTGCTTAAGGTTTCCCTCGTTCCTTAATCAAAGACATATTGATTTTTGTTACTTCTTGAGAAAGGGCAAATATGACTTTAATATTTTTTTGATTAATTGTTTTTATTTAATGTAAGTGCAAGTTACCTGAACAAAGTAGCAATGAATGTGAAATGATTTGCCATAAAAGTATCAAAATGTAAACAAAGTAGTATTTTGGCTTCTATACAAAAATAAATTGTATTTATTTTCTATAACTGTAATTATTGCCGATAATGAAAACGATGGTTCGGGTTATTAGCCGATGAGTAACCTATTGGAAACTAAAAGTACATTATAATGAAAAGGCTTTTGAGGGCATTCCTGAGGCATAATGGGCCTTTAAAGGTGCATTATCCCTCAGAAATAAATAATTTTTACTTTTTTAGAAAGGACAAACATGATTTCTATAACATTGAAATAATGGTTTTAGAGTATTCTGGATGCTTTTAACATGAATAAAGTAGCGACAAATGTGTAATAATTTGTTCTAAAAGGAACGAAATGTAAACAAAGTACATGTAGTATTTTGTCTATTATACAAAATATTATATCACTTTAACTAAAAGCAACAGATGATAAAGGTGCCTCGGACATTTGGCAAATGAGTATTTTCTGAAACTATAAAAGTAAACCAAAAATAAAAAGCATTTGAGGAATATAAATAAAAGCATTTATGAAGCATAATGGGCCTTTAAATCTTAATCAAAGCCTGTCTTATATTTTATGCCCGTATTTGTGTGGTAAACATGTTCCTAAACATGTCCTTAATGTAGGTCAAATAGGTGCCTTAATCTGATAAAGTCGTTTCCTCTACTTGTTTGTTTCTCCTCAATTGGAATTTAGAATCTATAAAAAGATGTTTGGAATTTTTACCTTACTGTATGTAGTTCTGAATGCTGTGTGTAAGTACTTATTTTAATATGCAAATACCTAGTGTTTAGTTACATCAAAATTCGCATATAAGTGCTTTGTTTAGTTTATACATGTATTTTTAGAAAATTTGAAAGATATTTAGCGGTGTTCAACAATTTAACAGGTCAATTTATACAGCAATTATCTTCCCATTACGTAATTTATACGTGGACTAAATGAAGGGACAATGTTTCAAATTAAAATCTTCACGCAGTGATCTCCCCTTTATTATTCGGTATGGCAGGGGAAGAAACCGTTGGTAGGAGTATTCAACCGTTATCTCGGATGTTCTAAAATTAGCTATTAAAACGAACGAAATGTCAAATTTGACCGAAATAAAAGTCACTTATTGTTGATAATTAAGCACTTTTAAAAATAAATTTAAATCACATACTTTTTTTAATTCGATCTTATAACATAATTTTAGCATATGTTTCTGATGGCAGAGATCTCTGTACTGATAACGGGAGATCACTGCGTCGGTGGTAGTGTCCCGAGGTCGTGATGAAAACTTTTTACATTTAGTGGTATTTGACCTTTCTATTTTTGTTTTCAGATATCACGGAGGCTATGCGTTGTTTTGAATGTACGGACATTCCACATTTAGAAGATTGTGATGTTGTAAGATTGTGTAATACTCACGAAGTAAGGTTTTATCTTTAAATAGCTCGTATAAAATCGGCCATTTTCCGTCACATTCCGTCATTTTCCGTACATATAGTCGCCAGGTTGTCCGTCCGTCCATCCGTCCATCAGTCTGTCCGTACGTACGTCCTGAATTCGTGTCCGGCCCATAACTTTGTTATTTTAAGTCTGATTTTACAATCATTTCACGGAAATGATCACATATTGTCTTGACGTGTCGGGCGCAACATTTGGGTTGCTACCTTGAAGGTCAAGGTCACAGCATGACCTTGAAGCAAAATCGTGTCCAGTCCATAACTTCGTTATTTGAACTCGGATTTTGCAACTATTTCATAGAGATGATCACCATATTAAGACGACGTGTCGCGCACAACATTTGGGTCACTACCATGAAGGTCAAGGTCACAGCATGACCTTGCAGCAAAATCATGTTCAGTCCATAACTTCGTTATTTGAAGTCGGATTTTACAACTATTTCACAGAAAAGATCACCATATTCGCCACATAATGATTCGCCACAGAGTAATAATGATTTGCCACAGTTAAGAAACGATTCGCCACGTCTTAATATACAATTTTTTTCACAGCTATTTTCCACCCTTACACTGCCTGCCCTAAGCCAATAAAAACAGAGAATTTAGTACCACATGATACCAAAATGGACGACAAAAGATATCAAAAAATGGCGCCTAAAGGGCACAATATCCGCCATGTTTTTGTCGCTTTACCTATGTATAGAATTGAACTTTCTTCATGTGCGAAGCTCGAAACCAGTGTGTAGGCCCATACAGTCTTAGCAATATATGGAATAATTCTCATAAATAAGAAACATAAGCTCTATTGTTTTCGAATATTCGGCTGAACGGCGATTCCTAGCATTTTTTGGAAAGGCTGAAACGTGTTTTCTTTTTCTTTTTCAGATATGTTATGTGGAGCAAATTGTGACAGCGAGTGGTCACGTGACATACAATTCAGGTTGCAAGGCTAGAGAAGTACTTTTGTAACTTATACATATACCCCGCTTTAAAATGGACACTTAAAGGCCTATTTTGCCTCAGAAATGCTTTTATTTTTATTTATCAAAAGCTTTCTTTAGTTTTGAAATACCTTTAAAGTACCCAATAAGTTACTCATTGGCAAATTACCTGAACCATCTTTTTCAATAGTTACAATTAAAGTGAAAAAAAAGTTTGTATGGAAGTCAAAATAGTACTTTGTTTAAAATTTGCTACTTTTATGAACCTTTTATGAACAAATTATTTCAAATTTATCGCTACTTTCTTAAGGTAACATGCAGTTTCATTCTGTAAAACAATTATTTAAACAATATCAAATTCATATGTATCCTTTCTAAAGAAGTAAAAAACATTATTTGTTTCTGTAGCATAATGTGCCTTTAAGCAGTAATGTTTTCATTTTAGACTACATAACGTTCCTTTTCTTGACCTAAGTATTCTGAACTGTTTAGGTTAAAGTCAAATGGTCTACTATGGAAGGACTGTTATACAATAGATAATTACACTGATAGCATGAAATATCAAACATAACAACAAACCATAGGAATGTTTGTGTATGGATGTTGTTGGCAGATCCGATATTGTACGGTGCCACAAAGGTGACATGTGTGTGCGGGATACTGTGTCGTGACAGCGAGTTACTAAGTCGTGCGCACGAGTTTCTAAGTCATGGCCACGAGTAACTCAGTCATGCGAACGAGATACTATGTCATGGCCGTCGTGTGCACGAGATAATGAAGTAGTACGCACTAGATACTTTGTCATGAACACGAGTTACTAAGTCGTGCGAACGAGATAATTAAGTCGTGCGCACGAGATAATTAACCAATCAGATTACACTATAATTTTTATACAGAAAATTCCGTCTTTTAAAAAATTGTCTTAATAGCGGGGTGGTCTTAATTCTGGGGTGGTCTTAAGTAGGGATTCTACTGTATATGATTTTTTTAAACTTAGAAAATTCCTGATTAAAATTGTACATAATATCTCGTGCACACGAGATGAATAAAAACGCAAAAATGTCATCTCTGTGCCAACGTAGATAAATTATTACATATACTAATAATTTTATTTTGTACGTCTTGCTTACTTTTATGAAAATATCTTCAAGGTTCCAATCTTACTTTTACATGTACTTGTAAAATGGTTTTCGTAAATAAAACGTCTGGAAACTCTAATTCTGAAGAGAGATAATTGTACAATGTAATATAGAAAGATTTGAAAGAAGAATACATTAAATGAGCCGCGCAATGCGTAATGCGTTTGCGACCAGCATGGATCCAGACCAGCCTGCGCATCCGCGCAGTCTGAACAGGATCCATGCTGTTTGCTCACAACCCTATAACAAGTAGAGAAACTGATAGCGAACAGCATGAATCCTGATCAGACTGCGCGGATGCGCAGGCAGGTCTGGATCCATGCTGGTCGCAACGAATTACGTTGGTTTTGTCATGACGCGGCTCAAATACTACTCAATTGCTTGCTTTCCAGATTTGTAAAACGTTGACCGAAAGGAGCGTCGCGTTTCCTGCCAATGGTACCCAGTCCAGTGAGCAAACAAGTGCCGTGGTTAAACGGTCTGGGGTTGACTTGACAACTTGTGAGCAATGCTGCAGTGCAGAATTCTGTAATAATCAGGGATGTGGACAAACAGGTTAAGTGTTGTAGCTATATTTAACTTTTTCCGATCGCAAAATCGACCGGAAGAAGTATTTTTGTCGCGCATGCGTAATCTGCGTATGGGCAATAAAGGCTATTGTCCTACACAGTGCAATTTTATATCTGTTGACAAATTATGTGAAACAGCAGATCTCTGAAATAAACGACAAATGTATCCGAAAAATGCGCCATGTATAACCCTTTTCTTTGCAAATGTACATTTTGAGTAACTGATACAGATGCCGAATTTCGCTGGAATATGAAGAGAGAAGTTGCCAAAAACAACTGTAAACAGGCTAAGGTTATCCCACCGAGCTTGCATTATTTTCAATTTTGGGCTGAATCCATGCTCAAATGTCCGTATTGAAATGATGAGATGACGTAATAAAAGAATATTTTTTAAGTAGAAAATGTATGTTTTGAGAAATAGATATGGATGACGAAATGCATGACTTTATAATTTTCAATGCATTCCATCCGTATTCAGACATTCCTATGCACTGTATATATGAGCCGCGTCACGACAACACCAACATAGTGGGTTTTCGACCAGCATGGATCCAGACCAGCCTGCGCCTCCGATCAGTCTGATCAGGATTCATGCTGTTTACTTACAAACGGTATAACAAGTAGAGAAACTGAAAGCGAACAGCATGGATCCTGATCAGACTGCGCGGATGCGCAGGCTGGTCTGGATCCATGCTGGTCGCAAACCCATTATGTTGGTTTTGTCATGGCGCGGCTCATATAAATGTATGTAAATTTATCTTCAAAGCCGCCTTCAGCTTTTCTATTATTTTTAGATAGATCGATTATATAATTACCAAATCCAAAAAAAATAAGGTGGAAAAAGAAAGTCAACGACGATAAAATAAATAACAATAAGGAAACGCTTCGCATCCCTGCTCTCTATACATGTATATAAATTAGTAATGCGGAGAATTTGTTTCCCGATACAGCTCGACTAATTCTACTGCGCGACGAGATATTGTGCTATTTTGTGTCTAAGCAATACAGTTGTATCTCGCCGCTAGAAGCGAGATTCTGACCCAGAACGAAATATCTGAGGATCTTGCTTTGGCACGTCAATATATTTTGACTACAGTGATATGATGCACCTTTCCAAAACAAAATTATTG